CTGCTGAGAAAAGACTTCACCCTGTCATAACCAATGTGATGGTCAGTTCTTCAGGTTTTACTTCAGACCTTCTCCAGAACCTGATGCCACGTCCCCGTGGCTGACCTTAACCAAGTCATTTCTACATCAAACTCTAAACTAGACACACTGTGTGCCTCACTATGTTGTTATCCACTACTGTGCAATCGCTCTTGCTGGAGAGCTGATTTCAAGGATATTTGGAGGCCCATATGAGATCAAGTACCTGGAAACCCTGGCAATTTGGTCCCGTCCACCACTGGGTGACTGGGTTGTCAATCAATGGTAGCAAAGGTGTACAGGTACTCCCTGCCCAAAGAACCACAGAGTTGGTAAATGCAATTTTTGTGTACCTTTTTGTATGCCATGTTCTTGACCCCCATCTTTGCTGTAGACAGTCATGTATACACTGGCAGTGAAGTATAACAATGCCATCAAGATCACATCAGTGACAGTTTAAGTACATTATAGTGATGTCAGAGATTATGTTAACTCCAGTGCCATATGAATGAGGGTCCTTATTCCCTTCAGTCACCACTGCCACAGTATCCTGTCCGAAAGACCTATCGATCTTCTGCCTCAACTCCTTCCTCTTCTTCCCTTTTGGTAGATTTTTTCTTAGCTTGCAAACCCAGCTGAGCTCCCAAGAGGAAGGGAGGAGAAGCGCATACTGCTGTAATCTTGAGGAGCCATATCCCAGGCAACTACTTATTTGCTTGATTCCTTGCAATGAGATAAACTTTGAAATCTGCACACACCCACTAGTCCATGTGCCATGATCCTTCCAGCTTTCCTTCTTCCACCAGGACACGTTTCACCCTGCCTCCCCCTCCTCAGGCAGGCATCTCCTTCCAGCTGTGGTCTCCCAGGAGCAGGCAGCAAGGGTTGCCTCCGCTCATTCCCAGTGGAAATGTTATCAACACCCATGTACCATACAAACCTTAGAAGAACTTTCATTTTAATCAGAAATTCTCCACTCATCAGCCCTGAAACTACCATCATTGCTGCCAAAGCATCCTGGGGCACCATCATCAGTGAGGCTTGGTAAAGTCCACAGGCGCGTACAGCCTTAAAAGTTAAACAAATTGTGGTTTCAGCAGTGGTAAAACACTAACTTCACTATGCACAAGACTCTGAAAGAGCGCTGCTGGCCTTCAAGTTGATCATACCCATTCAAAGGTGCTGGGGTTCCAGGTCTCTGCAGGCTTCAGAGATTTACCTAATGAAATCTCCTCTGCCTGACTGCTGGGAAGCATCCCAGTGTTTCACTGCAAAACAAGATGCCTGAGGCTCTCCTAAAATATATGGAGCTTATCATCAGCTCTGCTCTAAATAATAAGGAAGCCAGAACTCAACACCTAACAAATATAACTAGAAAACAATTTATAAAAAATGTTTTAAAAAAGCTTTTGGTAAAGTTGTAGATAGTCTTCATCAGATGGAGATTTCCATCTAGCTATATTAAATAAGCACTGGTGAAAACATGTGCTACACATGACACCTCTAAAAGCACCCATCTGTGCCTGCAGACCAAGGAACTGTGTGGTACCACAGGCTCTGCTAAAATAAATGGTAAAACCTCCCTGCAGACTCCACAGCCCCTCAGCCAGGCCTCACCCCTACCAAGTCCCTTCCAGGCAGTGCAGGCAGATGGTCAGTTTGACTGTGCACCTGCCCAGCTCCTACCTAAAAACTCGTCCGGCACCATTGTGCTGCCTCACCTAATTCAAAACATCTGCGTTACACTGGGGCGTGCTAGCAGAGGTGTTGCAACTCCCCCATTCACTCCTATTTAATTAATCTTCCCTTCAGCAAGTGGAGATGAAGGCTGCTGCATCCAAAGGAACACCATGGAAAATCAGTGGGATTCAGGCACCTCACTCCTGGATGTTCCCTGGAAATGGTACACCAAAAATCTGAATACAACTTAAATTGCCTTCCACCAACACCTCCCAGGGACATGGGGCCCCTTCTCTGCTGCATGGGAACCAGCCACTCCAGGGAGCAATTTCAGGATTTCCCTCCCCAGGCTTAAGACCTGGGTGATACCTGAGACTCCCTATGTCCTATTTGACAACCCACATAAATCAAGTCAGCACTTCAAAAGCACTCTTGGAGAACCCAAATTCCTCCAGGGACACGTGTAGCCCATACTGCTCACACATAGGCCACAATTAAAAAAAAAAAAAATTCTTGGCTTTGGCTTTGTTTGCTTCTTTCTTTTCACTTATTATACATACCCTGAGCAGACAAAAGTATTTTGTACAGCAAGCTGGTGTTGACAGATAACCAGATTGACTGTTAGTCCTCAGCAGAGCATCCTACCTATGTTATACCTAGTCTGTAGCTTATCCTTTCCTAGGCTTTCATTTACAAATACTCATTTTCATATAGTGAAGGAATAAGCAGGCTCATTTACTGTGACTAGAATTAGTTGTTCATGATAAATATCTGGTCTAAACTGAGATAGACCAAAGGGACTGTATGTTAACAAGACAGACAAATCCATCTTAAAAAAAAAAATCCTCTTGTTACAAAAGCAGCATCCAAAACTAGGAGAGCTGCAGGCATTTCAGATAAAATAAATTGGTCATATGCACACCAGTCCTGGTTTCATTTCCTGGCTCTGATGTACTGCAAAGCTGCTGCATTAGACTTCCCTTCACTGGAGGAAAACCTGCAACAAACTAAACTGTTGATCCTTTTTATCACTATTGCAGTAGTATTTATTTTCAATTCTGAAGTGTGCTAGCTTGAAGGTAGGGCATATCAGAAGACCAGCTGGGTCCTGCATTCCTCCAAAGGAAGTAAGTGTGACAAAAAAGAAAATAAAAGTGAGAAAGAAAGGGGGAAGTGGCCCAGAATAAAAAGACCTTGGTACTTGCCCCTTCCTGCTCCTTGGTCCTCCACAGGGGAGATCTGCTGAGTATTCCCCAGAGTTGAGGTTCCACAAAACTTTTCTTCTTTCTCTGCCATGACTGCATTGTTTTTCTCTCTCTCTCTCCTGTTTTCAGAATTTCTCAGAGACTACACCCAGGTGTAAGACCTCCTGCCAGTAGGATGTCAAAAGACTGCACCAAGGATCTCCCCATCTCTTCTCCCTCACCAGGGCTCACCGGTAACTCACTGACCAGCAGGACTCTCCATGCTGTCAGAATTACTCCTGCTTCACTACAAATTTCCCCACATGATTAAAGCCCCCCTCAATGCTACCTCCTGTTTTGTGACAAAAATGTAAAAATCTAACCACTGACTCGGTGCCTCTGCTTTCTCACCCCATCTCCATGCACATTTTGGACGAGGTATGATACAGCTGGTTTACTTGCCCCGTGAAGAGAAGACACACGCAGCAGGGTCTGTTGAAGAGACCCTTGACACCTCTCCGGGGGAGCTGAATGCCACCTCCAGCAAAATATATTCCCATTTTTGAGCACTGTTTCCCAGGAGACTGTTGTCCCAACCCCATCTCCATTATCAGCTCCTTGTCACGGCGTCCAGCCAGCCCCCCCCCCAAGAGACAAGACTCCTTGAGCTCATTCAAACCACAGGCTACCCGTATGGGATGCGAAGTGCCCAAACATGTTTTCAGGCCAAAACGCTCCAAGTACAGCAACTCAACACATCACTTCTCTGCGACTGAATAAAAATGCATCTGCCCTGCCGCAAGGCTGAATCCAGTCTCAAATACTAAGATAAACAATCCCAGCACAGCCCTCTGTGGGCAAGTACCACCGCCTTATGCCAAGAAACACATTTTGATATGCAATTCGCAACTGAGCACTCGGTGGTTCCTCCAGCTATGTCCCCGAAGCTCGGCGTTGAAGCCCATGGTTGCTCCTGTGCGTGCAGACCACTGCTAAGCCACCCACCGACCCCACTGGACAGGAGCCCGTGCAACGGCACCTGTGCAGCCTGAGATGCAAACCCCTCCTCAGCACCAGGCTGAAGAGTTTAATCTAGCTCTGCTTCTGTGACCGTGGGTCTTTTAAAACAGTGAGGCAAATCCACACGCTAGACCTGCTCCTGTCGTTCATTAAATTAGCCGCGGAATTCTCAGCCTTCCCAGTAGCTTCGGGTTTTCTTCCCCCAGAAGCCGAACTATCTTATCTGCTATTCATTTGCAAAGTGGCCCGGCAGGGAAAGGAAATGCTCAATTTGCCCCTGACCTGCCATCCTGGGATAGTAAATCGGTTCAATCCAGCAGGACATTTAATATTCTCATTGGGAGATCCTCACATGCAAGCTGCCCCTTTTCACTGCCAAGTGCCAGCAGTAACCTCTGGTGGTCTGGACTACTCGCAGACCCGAGATTTAGGGAGGTACATGCCTACCGCCTGTTCTTCCGCTGTCTTCAGGATGCACTGATCCTTTCACAGCTGATGGGGACAGCACCTGGGGGTAGGGGGAAATCCTAGCAAGTCTGGAAAACCACCACCCTTCCCATCCCCAAGCAACTCCTCTTCAAGAGACCCCGCAAGCACGCCCGGCTGTGGCCACCTCCGTGGGGTGTACCACCAAGCATCCCCCGAGCTCTGTACCCTTCTCCATGCCTGTGGCGTACAGAGGCGCGACTCCTTCGCAGGCTGGACGGCTGCTGCCTTCCCACCCACACGTGGCCAGGCAGTGTACTGGTTCTCCACGTTTTAAGAGTACTGTCAAGCAAAGTTAAGTGCCTCCCTGTCAGCAACGAAGAGCACTTCAAATGATGCTGCTCCGGCTTCTTCTCAGCACTGTCCTCCCCAAAGCTGCTAAATTACCTTTGCTTTAAAATTTAAGAGGTAGGAATAAGGACAAAAGTGTCACAGGAGGAAGAGCTTCCAGCCCTTGTGATAAGTAAAATTTAAATTACAAACCCCACCCCGAGCAGATGATAAAGAATAATGAAGCAGGCGAATGGTCAAGCGCAACCCTGCAGGTGTGAACCCTGCAGTGACACTTCGCAACAAACCCTTTTCACACCGACTGGCCGACTGCCTCCTTACCGAAGTAATCGGCCTTCGGCCGAGCATCCATCTCCTGCTCCAGGCGCTGGGTCAGTGCCTCCAGCTTCAGCTCAGCCGCCGACGGCCCTTGCTCTGGCTGCGGAAGGAGGGTCTGGCAGGGCAGCTTCACTTTCGTCATGCCGGAGCCCTCCTGGTGACCAGCATCCAGCCGTGGGCCACTCACGCTCTCGGGGAAAAGCGGTTGTGGAGCATCTGGAGCCATCAGCCCGCGCGAGGCCAGGCGTGAGGAGCCCGACTCGGGGTTTGCGCTGCTGCCGTTGGGCCGGTGGTTTTGACCGTGGGCCACGTAGTGCCCGCTTGGGCTGGGGTAGGCAGCGGTGTGCTGGCAGTCCACGCTCGGGGCGGGTGTGGAGCCGGGGGGAAAGGACAGCAGGACGCCCTGGTACCACAGCTGGCTGCTGTCCCCTCCGGTCCTGGGACCACAGGGCTCAGCAGGGCCTGAAAACCCCCGGGCCGGCTGCACCGAGGGGGTCGAGAAGGAAGAGGACCTCGGCTGCGGCAGGGCACCTGGTGCCCCCTCCTCCATCCCCACCGGGAGTGCCGGGGGGGTTCTTGCAAGCCTTGCCACTCAGAGGTGTGTGCAGGAGTGGGAAACCCCACTGCAGCATGGGCTTCCCTCAGGCAGCGCTGAGCACTGGGAATCCCACCACCACACACCCTCCTCTCCATCCACCTGCACCAGCTGCAACAGCATCTGACTTCCATCTTAGTACGGCCACTGCCCCAGCAGGAAGCTGGGGCTTGAGCTTTCATGAGTGGCTACTCTCCTGCATTTAACAAGCCAAATTAGTCTTGTTTATACTCCCATGACTTGCATTCCCCTTTTTAATCTCATATGGAAAAACAGTATTTCTGCTTGGAAAAATATTATTATTGCTCTCTCCCTTTCTTTTTTTTCCCCCCCTATCACTTTCACTAGACATTGCCTTTTTTTTTTTTTACTTTCCATTTGAAATCCTTTGCCCCAGCAAATCTTCTCAGCACATTTCTCAGTTACAGCCTGGGTAAAACAGAAAATGAGCTTCACTTGGCTAAACTTAGCTTCTTTCCATCTTTCTAAGTCTCACCTGACACCCACACCTTTTTGTCTTGCGTTGGAAACCTTCCGAAAGGGTTGCCTTTTAGAATAAGCAGTAAATAGCTATTCTTTCAGCCCTCACCAATCCACCTCATTAGAAATGGGATTAAGCTATTTTTTAGCCAAACACAAACAGGAGTACCCACCGCAACCACAAGTACCTCTCTACCGCTGCTCTCCAAATAAAGATGGTAAAATTTGTTCTAAAAGGAGAATCAAAAGTGTTGCTTTCTGAAGCACCAGTTGCACGGTAGTGATTTTAGAAATTTAAGACAGCTCGAACCTGCTGCCGGATTATTTTTAACAGGACCGTTGTGTGCAAGGTCAATTTGGAGACCGCCTGGCCATGGAGGGTGAGAGGTCCCTGAAGCAAAGCCCTGGCTGCAGCCAGGAATCCTCTCTCCAGAAGAAGGTTTTGAATTAATTTATAAGAGAGGACAAAAGATGAGCCACTGATTTCTGAGCCTTTAGGACACTGCCACCATATGCAAACATCACTTTTTCTTTTTAGTTTTCCAGTCTTCAGTCAGATGACGGTGAGGTTGTCTACTGAAAACATAGGTGAGGCAAGGCAGCTGGTGTCAGACAGCTGGGAAATGAGCAGAGTTCAAGGTTCAGCTATTATTAAAAAGCATACACATGTTTCTATATTTATTCCCACTTTACAGCTCCAAATAAAACACATGCAGTTCTGATGAGTTTACAACTTTAAATACAACGCAAGAAAAAAACCCTAAGATTCATCTGGGAAAACCATACTAACATATCCAAAAGCACCAGAAGGATTATTATTTTTTTCTGCCACCACATATACAGCTACGTTTCTAAAAATATGCTACTAGCCCTCTAACTAAACATAACCAAACAGAAAAAACACTGCCTTACAAACACAGCCAGGATTTGAAATCAAGAGGCCTGTTCCTCACCCCAGCTCCATCAGAGGCCTCCTTGAAAAGCCACTTAAGAGGATCCATACATTGCAGTATGCTGTACACTCCAGCAAGCTTCAGATGTGGGTCTGACAAGCGGCAGGGAGCTCAGCAGGGCCAGCTGAACTATTTTCCCCACTTCTCAGGCAGATTTCACAGGGCTGATCATCACTGCTCCCAGCCTGATACCTCTGGCACAATAACTAGCTCACTTCCTGCAACCAGAGAGCAAGCTAGCAGAGACATGCCCCTCCATCTCGGGGCACGGCTCCATTTCTCCAGAGAAAGAACAAGAAAGATGTGTAATCTGGGTCATTCCTGTACTTAGATGCTTTGTCCCTCAGAAGGGCAAAATTATTTTAGCAAGTAAAAATAATGCACGCAGTGAAAACACCATCAATGGACTGACCATGCAGCAGCCCTATCTGAAAAGGTGTTTCCAGCACTTGCAGAGCCTACTATTGATACTCTCCTACCCTGCCTGCACCCTTGACACGGTGCTGACCCAGTGGCTCTCCCTGGGGTCTGCAGACTGAAAGGCCAGAGCAGCTGTGAAGTCTGACGTGACAAATAAAAAAACCTCTACATGTAAGAAAATGTGGCTATAACTGAGAGGCAGAGGAATGAAAACAATCTCCCCCATACCAGAAGGCAGATGGCTGGGCACAATCTAAATATCTTTTCTACATGCCTTGCAAAAATCCATTCAAAACCAAACAGCAACCACCACCACCACCAAGACATATAGCTGTGGCAAACTCCAGCTGTGAGATAATTCAATAACCACCTATTTTTTTTCCCCCCTTTACACCAGAAAAATGTTAAGCCCAAAGAGTTTTCCCCAGGGCCCTGCACTGGCGGCAGGCCAGGCACAGGGTACTCACTGCAGGCTCCGCAGGTGAAGCAGCCGTCATGGTAGAGGTTGCCCATGGCCTGGCAAGCCTGGTTTGCTCCATACACCCCCTTGCTGCACTTCACACAGGTCCCTGGAAGAGAGAGAGGGAGAGAGGTCAGAAGTGGGACCCAGCAGGGCGGCTGGGGTCACCGGCTGGGTGACCACTCCTGTAATTCTGCATGGTGGCTCAGCAGCTTAGGACCAGGTGGTCCACTGAAGCCAGAAGATCTAAGTGACATCAGCATCACTCGCCCTGAGAGATTACAGGGTGTTAACAGGGTCACGATGGTCACCAAACCTCCACAGCAAAAGCCTTTTGCACAAGAACAGCCCTATCTGACTACAGCAACATCTCCTTCTCTCATCCTTCCCCACAACCTTTATGTACATTTAAAACCACTTAAGGACCCTCCCAAAAGCCTGGGTGGTAGTAAATGGTGTTCAGGGCCATTCACAGACCAATAGTTTCTGCTACTTACTGCATAAAATAAGCTTGTTGGTTGCAACTGATGTGAGGGGCTAACTGAAGACGTGTGTTTTCCTTTAAATCTTCATTGCTTGCAGACCCCAATCACATCTACTTAAGGCCCTAAGGATTTCCCACTGAAACAGAGCAGGACTACCTGACACCTACCTCTCTTCCCTCTGTCAGCCATGTCTCAACAGAGACCCAACGCAGGTGCTACCTACAGACCACATATCCTGCCCAAATGTTCCTCTCACTTCTTGGAGGACAAGGCAAGAAAGAAGTCAGGTTTAAGGGGAGGACACCTGCTGGTGGCAGCAGTGGAGGGGGGCTGACTCTCAGGTGGCCTGTGGGGCAAAGGAGAGCAAGGGGAAGCACACACAGTGAACTTCTGGCTATAAGCCATCCCAAGTACAAGTCCAAGCTCCTCTCACACCCAGGCTTTCCTGCCATCACCATCATCTAAAGACCAGGGTCAGCTCTGGAGCTCCAGAGGAGAGAGAAGATGATCACACTTGGCTGTTCAGCTCAGTCTCTTGCCAGTACAGCCAAGTACGTTTCCACCCGCAGCCCAATGTGGGGCTCCAACCCAAAATCTGAGCCGGGCAGAGAGCACAGGGTGAGGATTTCTACCTCACAAGGAAGCCTCTGGGACCCTCCAGGCACAGACCTGCGTGACAGGGGGTGGGAATAGCAGCAACAGAGCAGATGCACAGTGGTGGTGGTGGGGAGGGACTGCAGGGAGACTTCAGCACAGCAGGTTCACAAAGGGTGTTGTGTGTTCATCTAGGGACTCTCAAATCTCACCACATTTTGATGTAAACCTATTTTGGTAACAGAATAAGAAGTGAAAACTGAGTTTCACACCCTTGACAGCATCCACTAGCAGGACCTGCTCCCTTCACCTTGCAGTGAGAAAGGCAGCAAAGCCACCCAAAACCACTATTAGTGGCTGAGGAGGGAAAGTCATTGTCCAAGGAAAATGACATATCAGGCCAGTTGGCTTCAGGCATTACCCTGTGATTGTGACAGATCAGTTTTAAAGCAGCATCACCCTTTAACTACCTCTAAATGAGCAATGTTAATCCATGTTTAAGCAAATAATAAACACAGATTTACCCAAAAGGGGCAGTGTGAAGGACAAACATAAGATGTGCTTATGTCTCTGGTCTGTGATGACCTTGCAGATGTGACTTCACCTCCAGGTCTCTCCTTTCACAACTTCTCAGTCCCATCCACCTCAGCTCTTAACCTCCCTGGGGCAGGCACTGTTGGTCATGTCTTGCTCCTACTGGCCCAAGAAACGGGACAGCATCATCTTACTGGAGATCCTTAGTCATGCTGTGGTTAACAAAATTTCACTTCTTTCAGGGCACCACAAGCTTCAGAGTAATTAGAAAAATCTGGTGAAAGCTAGGAAGAAACCCAACATACTTACGACAGTGCTGAAAAGTAACTCCCAACTGCAGCAGCACCACGTTGGCACTCCCAGGGTGGTTAACAATTTCTTCCTGCAGCCAATAGCTGCAGCTGTCAGTTTTCACACTACAGGGATAAAAATGCTCAGGAGCCCTTTGCATGTGGTTGCTGAAAAGCAGATCCTTCTTTTTCCCAGGGCAGACCTGGCTCTCAGTGCTGCAGCTGCCTGTGTGCATCCAGCCAGCACGCTGAAAGCCATCCTAGCAC